TACGCACAAAAAACCTACTTATACTGATATGTTCTGCTTTCAATTCTTCTGTGCATAGATCTAAAACATGAAAATTCTTGTTGAAAAAGTGCAAAACATGTTGAGAATGAGGTTAGGGTAACTTGCATAATTTTTGCATAATTTTGCATTTGTCCTGCATAATTTGGCCATCTAAATCTGCATTATTCTGCGGGGACAGAAGGAATTAAAGGCATCACATCATACGCATTAAATCAAATAATATCAAAGAAGAAATTGCCATAACTTTCTGTTGTGTGCATTGACCACAGGGTCTGGTGACTTACCTCAAACACAATGACGAAAGCCAGTCGGATAGCGAGAAGCTTCCAGTAGAACATCGTGTGGTCACCATTCTCATCTCGAAAATCTCGGTACCTGAGCAAAGAAATCGGGGAGTTACATTGCATGCTGAGTTGAGACTATAGTCATTGAATAAATTATTCAACTACATGTATTCTAATTAAAATCACAGAAACTGAATAGGAAACAAAAAAATAAAAAATAAAAATGGGAAGACATGGAATAACACCAAGAGACTAGCCCAGGGTAGAGAAAGGTAGAAATGAAAAGTACTTGTTTGGGCCTATACCCTGATGCAGGATGAGAAAGGCAATGATACTGATGATGATTCTAATTAAGTAGTGGTTGTGGAGAGTAACTCTGGTGAGACCCAAGTTCTATTTAAATATTTTTTTCTCAAGGTGTTCAAAAGGTTATTACTCTCTCTCTCTCTCTCTCTCTCTCTCTCTCTCCCCCTCTCTCTCTCCCACTCCCCCCCTCTCTCTCCCCTCTTCCACTCTCCCCCTGTCCAGCGTGTTGTTGGGTGACACAGCCAGTGTGAAGTTTGTGCATCTCTCTCCCTCTACCCTCTCCCCCTCTCTCTTTCCCTCTCACTTCCCCTCCCTCCCCTCTCTCCCCCCACTCCCCCACTCCCTGACCTGCAAGTCTCGTCCAGGGTGTTGTTGGGTGACACAGCCAGTGTGAAGTTGGTGTAGCCATGCAGGTCCCACTCGTACTCATACTGATACAGTAGGCGAGGCAGGAACTCCGAGGTGAAGGCGATGAGGAACGCCTGTTGAGTGGGAGGGGGGGGGGGCGCATAGATTTGAGTGAAGAGTTGAATACATATATATATATATCAACACAATATAGTGAACCACACGCCAATGTCTTGGTCTCTCTCTCTCTCTTTCACACACACACACACACACACACATACACACACACACACGCACACACACACACACACACACACACACACACACACACACACACACACACACACACACACAAGACTCTACTCACTTTACTGATGACCACGAGCTGCGCAAAAGACTCCAGTATAGTGAACCACACGCCAATATCTGTCTGTCTGTCTGTGTGTCTGTGTGTCTGTCTGTGTGTCTGTGTGTCTGTCTGTGTGTCTGTCTGTGTGTCTGTCTGTCTGTGTGTCTGTCTGTGTGTCTGTCTGTCTGTCTGTCTGTCTGTCTATTAATCTATCTATCAACTCACATTACTGATGACCGCGAGCTGCGCCAAAGACTCCAGTATAGTGAACCACACGCCAATATCCTGGGCTCGCTCTGCCACGGGTCTCCGGGTCTCACAGACAAACTTGTGAGCGTCCAGGCGTATTTCTACCCAGTTGTTGAGCAGGGCAAACAGAGGGGCGAGCGGGAAGGCAGCCACGAAGATGGTGATGAAGCCGAACTGGAGAACTGGGGAGATGGATGGATGGAGGGATGGATAGATGGATGAATGGATGGATGGATGGATGGACGGATGGTTGGGTGGGTGGATGGATGGATAGATGGATCATCCAACAGAGAGAGGGAGAGAGAGAGAGAGAGAGAGAGAGAGAGAGAGAGAGAGAGAGAGAAAGAGAGACAGAGAGTAGACAGAGTGAGGGGTGGCATGGACAGGGACACAAACACCGACACAGATAAACACAGATAGAGACAGAGACACAGACAATCAGAAAAAGAAATAAAAACAGAGAGAGAGAGAGAGAGAGAGAGAGCAAGAGAGAGAGAGAGAGAGAGAGAGAGAGAGAGAGAGAGAGAGAGAGAGAGAAAGAGAGACAGAGAGTAGACAGAGTGAGGGGTGGCATGGACAGGGACACAAACACCGACACAGATAAACACAGATAGAGACAGAGACACAGACAATCAGAAAAAGAAATAAAAACAGAGAGAGAGAGAGAGAGAGAGAGAGCAAGAGAGAGAGAGAGAGAGAGAGAGAGAGAGAGAGAGAGAGAGAGAGAGAGAGAGAGAAAGGAAGAAAAAGAGAGAGAAAGAAAGAAAGAGAGAGAAAAAGGAAGAGAGAGAGAGATACCACCACAAATAAAGAATGCAGCATCCTAAATGATATTCAAGCACCCCTCACCCCACCCCACCCCATCCCACCCTACACCCACCTACCCCCACCCCCACTCCCATCCCGCCCCAAACCCACCCACCCCGCACACGTACTCACCCACCCGCCCCCTTGTACTCACCCATCTCCAGATACTCCTGGAACAGTCCCTCGTTCTCGATCAGCTCATAGTCGTCCTCCCACCGAGACACCTGGCCACCCTTCACCAGACGCGTCTTGAAACGGTGCCAGTAACCTTTCAATTTTCTGGGGAAAATAAAAAAAGTACATGTATATTAATTCTGTCCCATGTCAACCAATCTACGAACAAAGCAGAAGACCTTTTATAAAATACCTTTTTTTTCCGAATTGCTTTTAGAAATGAAAACTATATCAACCTAACATTATCAGAAAGTAAGCGTTCATGGACAAATAAGGGAGGGAACTACTTCTGGTATATAATTTAATAAAAATAATTTTTGTGGTTCTGTCCCTATTGTTGACACATTGTTGAGCAATCTCTCGCTCCTCCATAACATCAACCTTTCTCTCGCCCCACTC